TTCTTTAAACTACGTCATATGTTTGACTTGCATTAACGCCTATTATTGACAATAGGCTATTGTGCGAGAAATTTTCGTGCGATGTAACCTACATCCTTCTCTGTTCTGTGTTTCGCTTCACTTGACGAGCTACACGAGTTCTCTTCTTCTTCATCGTCGTCTTCATGCTCTTAAGTTGGTTAACGTTCGCTTTATTAAATGGCTTTTCTTAGAGGTTTCTCTTTTCCGTATACTTTCTGGTTCTGAGGAAATTTCCTTTCACAACGGCTCTTCTTGTCTTCACAATTCTTCACGCACTTCTGAAAGATGGATCATTCAAGTATGAAGTAGTCAAGGGTGGTGGTTTGAGTAGAAAATGTTTTTCAAGAAAATGAGAATATGAATAATTTAGGATGACTTAGTCATCGCCAGGACCTTACAGAAGTCGCGTCAGATCATGTCAAGCAGGAGCACTGATATATTATAACAATCCATTAAGGAAGCGTAGAGCAGTGTTTAGTGATACGCTGCATTAGATGCTTGGTCTTTGGTTCGACCTCAACCCTTGAGCTAACGAAACATTCCATTGCCACACGTTCAGCATATTCTCACTAGAGTAGTCTGGGAAGCAAAATAAAAGCGCTTGATAGATCGATAGGTCTCCGCAAATGAGTTTAGAGTCCAAATATGCATTCAACCTTCTCTACGATGCCAGAAATAGGGAGGAATGCACGGTTCTTCCTTAAAGCGTTGATTAGTGCTGAATGCTTTATCTTTTATCCTATATGTAGCTTACGAAAACGCTAAAACTGTGCTTTTTGCAATATTCATTATGAAAAGGTGCACTGCAATGTTTATAAGATCGCTGGTTAGATACCATGCCTCTATAAAACGAAGCCCACAATACTTCAAGGGTTGAGAAGTTGAGACCAGGCATTTCTGAGAGGATAAACACACTTATGTGATGTTACCGATGGGTAGGCCAGCTGAAACCATGTAGACCAAATATGTATTTAATCACCTCTACATTGTTGCGAATGGAGTCGAATATATAGCGCATCCTTGACAGGTGAATGAACCCAGGGCACTTTATGGTCTATAGCATACGGTAGTATTACGGTTTTCCTCACATTTTGAAGTGTTATTTGGACATTGTTGGGAAATCCCAAAGTAGAAATCGATAACGAACACGTCATATGTATATGCGTTCAAACGCTAGCACTTTATTGCCTATTCGAACATTTACTAGAAGTTGCATCAGGATAAATTCGACGATTTGATACTAAGTTAGGTGATTTGCAAGTTAAAAATAAGCATGTTTTTTTTCTCTTATGTACATGAAAAAAATCGGTGTGAGTTCGGATTCTACTTGATGAATCTTGGTCTTCTTTATGAATGTCGGGTAATTCTGGTCGAGTTGATTCTTTTTAGAATCCTGGGGTAATTGTGCTAGAACGTTCTCAGATCTTCACCACAGGCGAGTGCCCAATTTATTGTATAGGAAGCAGCTTTTGTCAGCCATTTCTGGTACCAATCTAACCGACACGAGGGGATTGCGGGGCTTGTTTGGCCAGGTGTGCTGTCCAACCTTGCGCATATAGAGTATCATATGTGTGTTGGTGGCAACGATGAACACGGCATCAATGGAAGTTAACTTGTCGATGTGGTGACGTTCCCAAAAATTTCTGCTGATGGTGCCTTCGCTACATCTGTTTATAGATGGCGAACCAATTTTTGTTCATATCTGTGAAGTCCGAGCATAAGTGTTCGACTCTTCGTGCATAAATCTTATTCTCCACTTCACAAATGCGGCTAATATATCTCACGTTGTCGAACTCGAAAAAGAAGAGAAAAGAAAACGCGAGATTTTCTTCGTAACCCTAATATCTGACGCATTTCGTGGGCTATGTTTCAGGAGATGAAAGCGTTTTCTTTCGTGAACATGACTTGTTTTCAAATCAGACAGACGTACTCAGCAGCTATCACAGGATATTAGTTGCCGTAACGGATGTAGTGTGATAATATATCCTTTAATCATATTTTCTTTTGCAGTACATCAATGTCTCCGAAAAGAGCGGTTGAATTCGCTTTGTGTCTTTCACAGATAGCAACCACCGATTTGCTATGGGGGTTACGTGCGTCGAGATAGCAGTTATCGTAACGGATGTGGTGTGGTAATACACCATTTTATCAAATACCATATAAGGGCGCGTGTGAAGCAGTGGTCGGAGGCGCTCTGCAACACACACGTGGAATCGATCCCAGTGCCCATGACCCACCAAGTCCTCCATGCCTCTGGGGTCGGCAGGTTGGCACCAAACTTCTCTGAGGGGATAACAGCACTGGCTCGATACATCGATAATCCACCGCGAGTAAAGGCCAGATATGCATTCAATCACGTCCAACGATACTTAATGAAGTCGAATTCATGGCGCATCCCTAAGTGATTGATCAACGCCGAGATCTTTATCTTTTACTTTTTTTTTATCATATTATCTTTCGCAGTGCATAAATTTCTCCAAAGAGAGCGGTTGAGTTCGCTCTGTGTCTTTTACAGATATCGACGTCCGTATTTCGTATGGTCGTTACGTGTGTCAGGATAGCAGTTATCGTAACGGTTGCAGTGTGATAATGCACGCTTCTATTTCCCTCACAAAACATGAATTTCTCCGAGCAGAATGGTTGAATTCGCCTCTCCATCCATCATAGGATATCAGCTACTGTAATGGATACGGTTGCTTGTACTTCTGTATCTCTCATAGGATACCAGTTGTGTAATGCTGTCTAGGAATTCCTTACTAAGCAGCATTCCTTTGCATTAATGCTGAAGTACCGTCTAGCAACATGGAGCTATCTTGCGTGATCGCCCCGTAACCATGGAGGTTTAAAAGGAAATCGTTTTTTTTTCTTTCAATGTGAAATTTATTGCGGGACAATTTTCAAACAACCGAGCAGATTGTTTTTTACTTCATTCCGATTTCATATTTCAATGCTTGTAGAGATATATTGTTTCGAAATAATGATCGCTACTCTAGTAATAGAATATCAGTGATAGGTCATGATCGTTCGTAAATAGATTTTCAGGTCCAGAACACACGAAAAATAAGAAACCTACGAATAGTCTTTTTTATTTATCTAAGTGGAAAATCATTTCCCTGCTCTGTTTCCATTCCATTTTCACTGCGTCTTCTTTTTCGAACATTGGCAAATTCGGAATACAGCAGAAAATGGGAGTGTCAACCTCTTTCCCTTTCTGTAGGTGCAACTATCATCATATCCATAGCGTTGCTGAAATGTTTGCAGAACTTTGGACCGCTGGTGTCTGCGGTGCGGACCGAACACGCTTCTATCCTTTCCGTGGGCTAACGCGTTCACCAACACACCATGCGAGTCCTTCGTTTCGCCTGTCTCTCAGCCGTGTTATTGACCTATAGGCGCTATCAGCAATCAACCAGTCAACGGGATATCCCGTAGCACCTATAGGTCAATAACACGGCTGAGAGACAGGTGAAACGAAGGACTCGTATGGTGTGGTGGTGAACGCGCTAGCCCACGGAAAGGATAAAAGCGTGTTCGGTCCCCACCGCATACACCAGCGGTCCGGAGTTTTGCAAATATCTCAGTAGCACTATGGTAATGTCAGATAATACCCCGCCGTTAAAAATTACTAGGCAGTAAATAGAAATTGGCGTTATCGTCACATCACTAATATTTTTCATCAACGCACTTTCTCATTTTTCAAAATTTCGTTTTCCTCAAACAATTGCTGACTTTTATTTTGTACCTACTATAGTTTTTCACGGCGGGGTATGTTGTGAATTATAACCACAACGATACTGAGATCTTCGCAAAACTTGGACCTCGGGCCAGGTCGAACCACAATTTCCCTTTCCAGGGGCTCGCGCATTGCCCACATCGCCACGGAGGCCTTTGCTCTGTGTTTCTCTTAGCTAGTTTTTCTACCTAAAGCTGCCATCAGTAATCACCTATCAGCCGGATTGATCTGGAGAGCACGAATCGGCATTGAACCCAGTTAAGCCGAGGCTGTAGCCGAAATCATTGTGTAATGGCGCGAGCCTCCGGAAAGGGAAATCGTGGTTCGATCGGGCCGGAATCCAAGTTTTGCGAATATCTCAGCGTCGTTATGGTTATTTGCAAAATGTTATCCTTTGTTCAGATTTTCTTTTATTTTATTTTTGAAAGCGATTGTTTCATGGTTAGAAATGCGTACAGTTGAAATCCATTATCGTTGTCGTTCCAGAGAAGAAAAATTGGTTACAAACGATGCTGTGATTCCGTCCATTCTTTTTTCTTCAAATTCAATTTTGCTTTTATGTGTCGTTTCAGTGCTAACGATTGCAAATGGTTTTTTTCAAGAAAAGAAAAATTGAAGAAATGACAGCGTCACCTTAAATTCGGGGATTATGACGGATAATCTTCTTGCAGTATTTGAATAAGCTCTGGCTATTAAGTGATATCGATTTTCCAATATACTATATCTTTTCGAGGAGTAAAGGCGTAAAGCGTTCGGCATTGATCAAACCCTTCAGGATGCGGCGGCGTGCATTTCTCTCCATTCGTAGAACTATTGAGGTGATTGAAGTCATATTTGGCTCATGCAATCATTTACAGAGACCTACCAAATAACTCAGTAGGCGTTTTCACCTCTTTGATAGGACTCGTACCAGTCTGCATGCACTGAATGGATGACAGGCATGATTTGAGTGGGGTTTGAGATCGAACCAACGGCCAGTTGTCTATTGCAAGCCGTTTGTAACCATTGCGTTACCTCTGTTCATATCTTTCCAAACCAAAACAAAACAAAACTAGCTCTGATCTCAGTTTCATCCATTGTAATTTATTCACTTTGTATGCCGGCGGAATTCGAGTGCAGCCTTTTGTTGGCATTTTCTTTCTACGTCAGCCTTATTTTCGTCACTTCGCTTAATCGCTGAATTTTGTCAACGAAGTATTTCTGTTATTAGTATTTTTCCTCTTTGCAAGGAAAAACCAGTTCCAGAATGATCGCTACAACTGAAGCCACCATTAATTCATCGTTAATCGTTGATGATACAATGGAAAAACTGAACTATTTGAAAAGTATTTATTCATGGCTTATTCCTGTGATGATCGTCATACTTACGGTAATGTTATTACTTTTCTATTCTCACCTTCTTTCTTGTTTTCCTTTACACCATTCTGCTTAAAATCATTCGATACATGAACTTGGCAAGTCGATAGCGAAAAGCTACTCTACACCTACCTCCTAACTGACTTTATATAGGCAACGTTAAAAATCAATAGTCGTAAAACGCATGCAACAAGAAGGTAAGGCAAACAACGAGAAAGGAAGTATAGACGTATCTAGCAATATTTTACTTCAGAATTGTAACAGTAGAACGAAGAAGTTTGAAAATTCGACTAACTTTTGGTTGAAGATGTTTCATTCCTTCCCTTAACCTAATTGTCTTTTTCTCATTTTTTTAAAGCCCTGTCTTTCACGCTGTTTTCTGGAACGTTCTGAAGTTTCCGGTCACTAAGGCGCTAATGAACGTGACTCGACAAGTGCTATTCTAATATAGCACTCTATTTACTTGGATAGTTGGATGGCCCGTCCTCACTGGTTATGCGGACCCCAGAAATATTTTCATTTTTTGGAATTTTGCTGGTTTAGTACTGCGGTTCCCTGGAGTCCCGAGGTCAGCCAGGCGCAAGTCTGACACAGGTCGTCAACACCACAATCAGTCGCCATCTTTATAGATAAGAGCGAGATTTGCCACTATACGACTATGGATCTTGGTATTGATTTGCTCTTAGCTTGGCTTCCTGGTGAAAACGTCGGACTCCTTCTCAGCTTAGGAGACCCTGCCGGGAGGATGAATCCTCCTGCTGGACATCGTAGCTCGACACCGAGGAGCACCACCTAGCCACGATGAGGCGGTAAACCGTTGGGAGGATATCCACTTTTTTTCACTTTCACCGTTCAATTAATATGCTGCTGAAGAAGGTAATGCTGTTCTAAGCCATTGGGAACGCTGAATATAAATTTTAAAAGAGGACTTCGTACAAAATGTTGCCAAAATTCGAATAAAAAGCGAAAGAAACATAACTCCCACATGGAGTTCTAGCAAGAGAAACGTTCTTGATGTTAGAGATCTACCAATTGTTAGGGGGTTATTGCTATAAAGTTGAGAAAAATGAGAAAATTGGCAGTTCCATTTATTGTTAATCCGTTTAATTCAGTTAGAAGATTATGGACAAATTATTTTAGTATGATTTCTATCCCTCTTTTTTCTAATAAGTTTTTAAGGCTTAAGGGTTAAATTCGGATAATTTGTCCCCAACAAGAGCAGCTGTGCTACATTTTCTGGTGGCCATCCATTTTATTGTTGGAACTGGTGAATTTTTTTTGAAGAATTCCAGCGCGAATACTATGAATACCTATAATTTTTCATAACAAAGTACTTGGATACCTGGATGTTCCGTCTTCACGAGTTGTGCGGACACCAGCACATTCGCCATTTCTTTCTTTCGCTCGCAATCGTCGTTCTTTGTGGTGGCTTCATTCGAGCATGGTGGAGCGTGCGAGTCTCATACCGTGGTCTGTAAAATAACTGCAGCTACGGGTACGGGTACATAACAAAGTACATTGGAAATATTGGACAGAGTTATTGTTGTCTATGACGAAAACACCTGAAGAAGCTGGTTAGTCTAAATAAGTACTTTAAGATGTAAGATGAAATACCGCAAAATGAGAGGAAATTTTAAAATGTTCAAGGAATGCTATACGTTTACTCTCTAGATTTCGGAAGATTATCGCATTTTCATTTACAACGCCTGATAGAACCTTTCAGCTCTGTTTGAACGAGGGATCTGATTATTTGAGCACTCATCGTTACCGTAATGAAATATGCCGTATCAGAAGTTACCATAACACCCTTGTTACTACTTTACGCGTCGAATTTCAGTTGGCTATACTAGGAAATGGATTGATTGTACTGTCAGCTCCGTTGCTTACATCACCAGTTTCACCATATCTGAAATTATGCATCAGCCTTGCAGCTGCAGATATGTGGGCGGCGTCACTACTGATTACAGGTGAGAATAAATTATCGATCTCTGAAGAACTCGTTAAACGTTCATATTCACACCTTTTGCACTTTTCAAGTTTTATTTTCAAATAAGAGAATATTTTCGATTAAATGAGTAGATCGAATTAGTCGAGTCATTTAGTGTGAGTGGAGGAAACATCTGAACAAGTGCCATTCGGAGTTTAGTTCGACCCCACCACCATCCAACCAAATCTTTCATCATTTGGGATCGGTGATGTGATGCAGCACTTGTCTGGTAAAGCTTCCGTTCCTCTTCACAAGCAATTCTTCGTGGAGACCTAGTATGTCCTAGTTCTTCTATCCCATGATTTCGGGGAGAATCTTCACGACCAGCATTGGATGACGGTTACGATGGAGCGATTTCAAATTAAAGAAGTACCGAAATCCGCATATTATGTGAAGTTGGATTATACTAGAAGTAAAAACAGTGTTTAAATGACAATTTAACGTATTATTTGCCTCCTATTCTTTTTAACGGCAGGGTATACACTGTGAAAAATGTGATTATAACTACGGCCTCAGCTTAACTGGGTTCGTTGCCGATTTGGCCCCCCAGATCAATCCCGTTGACGAGTGATTGTTGATGGCAAAAGAACGATAGGACTAGCTGAGAGACAGGCAAAACGAAGGACCCGGATTGTGTGGTGGTGAAGTGCGCTACTCCCCGGTAAGGACAATAGCGCGTTCGTTCCCCACCGCATTCACCTGCGGTCCGGAGTTTTGCAAATATCTCAGCATCATTGAAGTGTTTAAATGGTCGAATTTTCGAAATTCGTCTTTCATTCGCACATTAGGTTGTTGAGATACGAGCGAAACTCGGAACTTCAGATGGGGTTCGAAATGGCGATCACGGAATACTAGTAATGAGAGAAGAATAGGCAATAAATAGAAGTTAGAACATTGTGACTGCAGCTTTAGTTTAACTGGCTTCAATGCTGATTTAATCACCACAAACCATTCCAGTTGATGAGTGATCGTTGGTAGCATCGATAGAGTAAAAAAAACTGACTGAGAGAAATGCTAAGCAAGGGTCTCGGTTACTGCGGTGCTTGAATCCCCTGTAAGGGTAATCGTGAGTTCGAAGCCCATCTGAAGCTCCGAGCTTTGCATCGCTTCTTAGCATCCTCAAGCCTGTACTTCACTGACTTGATAGATCAGAAGGCCACCATAAGTCATCGTATATCGCAGACATGCATCAATTCACCTCAAACGATGATTGATGAAGTCGAATGCATGGGAATTCCTTGAGAGATTTATCAAAGCCGAAAACTTTGTCCTTTGTTGTAAATCCACTTTCGTTTAAGCTTGGCATGATCAATGTACCTCGTTTCATCGACAAGCTAACGCAGGGTTGTTACCAAACATTTACTGGGCTAACGTTTCGACATCTTCGTCTTCATCAAGAGCCGATGATCCGAGTCGATGGTCCACAGTCACTCGTCTTCTCGATGTGGTAGGCAACCTCACCAAGCTTTTTTATTCAGGACGGCTGTTGTTGATAATGACTGTCCATTCACAATAATTTGTTTTTGTCAACGGAAATCCATCCTGCATCAGTCGATAAAGCTTGCACGTAAAGAAAAGGTTAAAGTTCTCGGCGTTGATCAATCCCTAAGCGATGCGCCATGCATTCGACTTTATTAAGCATCGCTGGAGGTTATTTAATGCATCTCTAGCCTTTACAACGACTCGTGGTGGTCTACCGATGCATCGAGCCAGTGCTGCTATCCTCCCAGATAGGTATGGGACCAATTTGCCTAGCCTGGAAGGACGGAAGCCTTGGTGGGCCAGAGGCGCAGGGATCGATCCCAGGTGTGTGTTGCAGGACTCCTTCGACCACTGCGCCACACACACAGTGTGCACTTATCCAAGGAATACTGTTGTGAACCAGTTTTCATTATCCTTATCCTTTTATCGTTTATGTAGATCTGTTATTGTTCCGTCTTACTTATCCGCCCGGACGTTTTATTGAAAGTAGTCGAAGGTGAAAATTAAAGTAACTAGATTAATGTTGGTATTTGTTTGGGAGCGCATCTGCTGATCATAACACACAACACGTTCGCGTATTGATCGGCGTGCAGCTAAAATCAATAAGTATTTGGTTTCCGGCTGATATCTGCAAACAATGACCGGAAGGAAGCCTCTCTCTGAGTAAATCGTTCGGCGCAAATTTTTTGGTGCTTTGGAAAACGAGCATAGAGATGTCAAAACATCATCGTTAGGGATGTTTTGGTTAGCAGAGCATTGGAATGCAAATTGAAATTTCGTAGGGCAACGGCCATCACATATTTTTGGTTTACAGTTCATTGTTAAAACTGAATATTTGTATTTGTAATATCTGATCCGCTGATCGTCATCTAGTTGATGATAAGCGATAAAATGATAAAGCGTTCGCCATTGAGCAATCCTTTAGGAGGAACGATCCATGAGTTCAACTCTATTCCTTGCATTTTAGGAGTACTTAGATACATATTTAGCCAATATAATGATTTTTGTTTACCTTACGACGTATTTTGTCAGTGTTTCTATTTTGCCCTATAAATTTGGCAGCAATTAACAGACCCTGGATTGACGAAAGCTTACTCAGCTCAGGACCCGGGAGCAAACCAACAACCCTAACAGCAATTTGTGGGGGCCTCTAACCACTGCACAACAGTCACCCCTACGCTATAATTGGGTACGAAATATTTGTATCGTCATTGGAAGAGCTAGAAGAAAGTCGGAAATTGACACTTATCGATAAGTGTAACTTTTTCACCTCAGACCTTATATTTCTATTCCGAATTATTCTACTATTACACTTTAATTAGTTGGGATGTGCTCTCAGCTCTTTATTGATCGAGCTAGGAGAAAATGCTGCATCTTAAATGAAATAATTCAAAGCTTGCAACATCCTTCAAAAACGGCAAACCTATCGCGACGGTGGCCAGCTGTGGACCATCGACTTGGGCAATCCTGCTCTGAAGTAGACGAAGACGTCGAAACGTTGGCCGGATAAATCTTTTTTTCAACCTTGTGCTAGCTTAATAATCCAAGAAGGCATTAAATGAAGTCTGTTAGGGGAAAAATGAGGTCTGTTATAGGATTGCAAAACTCGGCTTTGCTTTAACCCGGACATGACAACTGAATGTGTATTCCTTTATTGAGAAGCTGAAATGATGTTAGTAAGGTTTAGTCGACTGACATTTCTACGTTCTCGATGACCGTCTTGGACCATTGACGCGGATCATCAGCTCTGATATATAAGTTCGTTTTCGAATTGTTAGCAATTACATCTATTATACTATGAATTTTGACCATGAAATGCTGTGCTACGAGGTGACACCCATTGCCGTTTGTGAGCTGATTCAATAGACGTCGCGAATTGACAATGAACGAGACGCAACACCTCACTTTCGTCCACCGGTGGAATGAAGGACTGAACTGAAGTGTGAATCCAAAAAGAGGAACAAAAAGAGTAAAGCTTCGACGAATTTGTCATTCTAAACTTCTGACGTCACGTCATTCAACTTATCCAGAATTTATTGTCAGCCATGGATCACGGAGTAATTGATTGATGGTGTGGGGATCCGACTCTTATGTGGAATCGGTCAATATCTTATTAGATTATCTTTTAACACTAGCAACAATGCTAACTTTTTATCTGCTGCCTTGTACAGTTTTTCATGGGAGGGTATTATGCGAAATACAATCATAATGGAGCTGAGATATTTGCAGAACTTCGGACGGTAGGTGTCTGCGGTGGGGAACGAACGCGCTGCTACGCTTTCTGGGGGCTAACGCGTTTTTCACCACACCATACGGATACTAATAACAATACTTCAATTGTTTTTTAGGTCTAGTGGTTAATTCGTATCTGCCGGTGGTGATCGGTTGGCAGAAATCATCAAGATGTGTCGATGCATGGTTGGAGATGTTTCGTGTATCTGGTATGCTCACATCGGACATGCACCTCTTCGCTTTAGCTATCAATCAGTTCTTTGGGACGATGTGGCCGCTCAAATATAAGGTATCATTGTATCATCGTTATAAATCAACCGTAAATTTATCAGATAAACTCCAGAAGAACCGCTTAAGAGCAGAGAAGAAGCTATAGTACACAGCTAAACTCAGGAGATCTTTCTGCGCTTCATTTTTCCTCTCTTTCGCCCTCGTTCTCCTTCTCTTTCTCTTCCTTCATTTTCCTTTTGTTTCCATCCTTTCATTCCTCTTCTTCTATCTCGTTTAGGCTAAAAATAAGAGTTCATAGTTAAGCATATCATTGAAAACACGTGGGATCCTATCCATCTTGATGTCGTGTCAACTCGTCGCATTAATAATGAAGTCATTGTCGAAATATGGCTGCACGACTACTCACGACAACATTCTATACAAAGAGACTAACTTAAAACATCTCCTTACAGAAGAATCACGTTTAACAGTCTTTATATTTATCAATTTTTTGTTAGATTATTCAGAAGTGGGTGTCTAAGTTACAATTGATTTAATCTCTCATCCGACCATGGATTTGCAGGTGATGGTGACAACGCGACGTATTCGATGGATTGTTTTTAGTTTGTGGATTGTGCCATTGTTGTTCGTATTTTCCTGGTGAGTTCCAGTTGGTGGTATCATCAAAACTCAAACCTCGACCGCTAAGTCCACTATGGATTTCCTCTGAACTGAGTGGAATTCCGTCCACAGACTGTTTTTGTGCCTGATTTACACTTCCTGACACACTGGTTCCGAGGCCTAATTTTGTGCAAGGAACGCAAGGGAGGACGCCTAATTTCATGACGTGGTGGAGTTGCTGATTTTTCGACAATCAGTGATAATTTTTCGATAACCAGGGGATGTGAGGATTGGGAACGTGCCAGAATCATAGAAGAGTCATGGCTCCATCCTTCTAAGAGTATCCATGACATGTATGCTTTTTTTTATATGTTATTAAAACCCATCCGGCAAACACACGCCTGTGTTTAGAAGTGTTTTGCAGATGGTATTCAGCTCATTTCAATGTTTTTTACACACTTATTCCGTACGATACCCACTGTTTATTATAAAGGATAAAGATAAAAAAGAATAAAGCTCTCGGCGTTGATCAACCATGAGGGATGCGCCATGCATTCGAGTTCATCAAGCATCGTTTGGAGATGATTGAATACATATCTGGCCCTTACAATGACTCGAGATGCCCTACCGATGTATCCAGTTAGTGCTGCTGTCCTCCCAGGCAGGTTTGATACCAGTTTTTAGACACCGGAGAGATGGAGGGCTTGGTGGGCCATGAGCGCCGGGATCGATTCCACGTGTGCGTTGGTGTTGCAGAGCGCCTCCGATCACTGTGCCACACGTGCCACTATTCATCATAGCGATTAAAATTGCATAAAAACGAATAACTAGTCAAGCTATGCGTTATTGCGCTTTTTGGAAAAAAGGTTTCTTGTAGATTTCTAAGCGCAGAATAGAGAATTTCCTCGCTCAATCCTCACCGCAGTATCTGTGTTAGATAAGCCATCGACTGACCACGGAAACATTTCCCAGGATCGACTTTCTAATAACCTCGGCATTAATCAAATAATTTACTATATTCTTAATGAGCAAACACGAGATGTTACTGTAGCTTTTACTGAAGCAAAAGGCTTTCCATATGAGAAAGCTCGTAGAAAGCTGCTCTTAAGAAGGCGAAATCCACCTAAGTGTCAGCTCTTCTTTATATTCTTCTCCAGCAAACCCGAGGTGTTATTTTATTCTTTATTCAAGGACAAGCTGACGTTTCGGCGGGTTTTGTCTTCCTCAGAGCCTGGAAAGGTCAAGTTGACAGCAATCTACCCGGCCAGACATCTCCATAACCAAACAGAGAGAACGCTAAACCAAGATTTCAATCACATTGAACACAGAATAGCTTTTTTGAACACTCACCGCTTTCTACGAGTCCTCCACTGAGTAGTGTCGCGTGGAGACCAACCGCACAGAATTTACATGGAAGTGTAATGTGCCCATCCCATCAGTATAACAGGCTTATATACTGTCCAATATCATTCGTGACGATGAGGCATTCCTCCTTGCCGTTCATTTTCGGATTTCTGGAATTAATCCAAAAAGCCTCAAGAGTTTTGCACGCTTGTGTTCTCGATTTCTGTGCGAGGATCGTAAGGTACTTCGAAGTCCTCCCCGTCATGTCTCTGCGTCCTATGCGTGCCTAGCGAGGTATTTGGTCTATTTTTGCTGGTTAGGTGTTCTTTCATGCGGACACAGAGGGGTCTACCCGTTTCGCCAATGTATTCGTCACCACACGTCTTACAGGAGATCAGATAAACTGTACCTGAACTCATGCAATCACCGTCTCTACCATTAGGGTGAATTATGCAATTTTGCTTTGCACGTAGACGGTCATATAGGCGGTTACGAACGCGCTGGCGCCTAAGAGTACTCGGTGGCATTTCAACTACGTTTACCGAATTCCCTAGACTGGCCCTTCTTAAACAGCGTTTTATAGCTGCACTTACGTCCTTTGAGATGAAGGGTAGGACAAATGGGACCTTTTTATCGCTAGCGTTGTCGTTTGGGGCCCTAGGATATCCCCTACACCTATCCCGAGCTACAGTTTCGTAGCCATTAGAAACGGCTATTTGCCGCATCAAGTTTCCGGGACTCCTCTCTCTGCTCTCTTCCCGTGCACTTGTTGGGTGCTGTTCGAAACATGTTTCTTACAAGCGCCCTTTTCGTGTCTGAAGAGTGAGAGGAGAGGTAATGAACAAGCATGCTTTTGCCACTTGGTTTTCGATACCATTTCGTAATGTAGCCGCTTTCTGATAGGTTGATTTGCACGTTCAGAAATAGAAGCCAGTTTTCCTTCGTTTTCTCTCGGCTTAACTTAATAAACTCTGGCTGTTCATTCAGTAACTCAAAACATTTGTCCATTTCCTCTTGTGCCAGCTCTTCCTTCAATAAGGAATAAAATAACACCTCATGTTTGCTCAGCAAAACTGTAATGAATTATTTGATCCCTAAAATTTCAACAAAATAGCTCTGAAGGGTAAAATAAACGAGTTAAAATGTCAAAATGGGTCAAATATAACTCACATCGACGAAAATGTTTTTACGAGAAACAAAGGAAAAGAGTTCTTCTCGCCTTTAGGTTTATTTCGGGCGAAAACGATGGATTACGTCATGAGAGCTGCAACATGCTGTTCTACAATCGATTTCCGTTTCGTATAACAATTTTCCTCATTTTCATCGTACCGTTGTTGGCCACACTTCTCATTTACGGACTTATCCTGTCCAAGTTGCTGAAAGCAAAAGCCGAATTCGAGATGGTCACCAGCGAACGGTAAGCAGACGTCTACTTTTTCCTAAGAAGTTCTTCTTAAATAATACATTTGATGTCCCGAACGGTGAGTAGGACCAACTCCAGAGAACATAGAAATCAGCGTTAAAATGATCTAAGACGAGCTTTCTGTGACAGTAAGCCGATCACTATTGTTACACATAACATCATAGGTTTCGCGAATACGGTATACACGCACATGTCGTTAAATAAGAAACCTATGCTGTGATTACGTACGCATTACCAATATTTTCTATTTTTCCTATTTTATTTTTGTAAAGCTTTATTCTTACTTTACATGTTATCAAAACACGAATAAATGCATGTAGTTCTAAAATCTCGAATTAGAAACGCAGTAGCACCGGGATAAGAAGAGAATAGACATAGGAGTGAGAATTTTTCATTTTTTATTTTTATTTTACATGGGCCATCTCCACATCTACTGTACTGACTCCAGCACTTGTTGCATTTGATTCATATCCTTGTATCCATCATCTACGAAAATAATGGAATTTTTCCCATGAGGGTTCGGCTGCTGTTTGAGGATTTTGTCTTCTTTATGAATGCTGTAGAATGCTGGTGAAGTCGATTCTTCGTGGAGGACAGACGAGCTAGAGCGTTATCATTTTAATTGTTGAGTGTGGGATATTCGTTAGTGTACCCTAGGAAAGCGTTGAACCAAGACAGTGCTCGTGACGAACGGCATCAGTACCAGTGCGTTATCCACTTCCTAGAATATTAATAGGAATGAAATATCATTAAGAAGAAAGAGAAATGGTGACGTATTTGATGTTCCTAATTGAGAACTTGAATGGCACATATTCACCAAGTGCCGAGCGAATCTCAGTGCCATTTTCTCACTTCTCTGGTAATTCGTTGATCAGATAGTATATTCGTTGCTTGAGATTTTCAGATAACCGTTCTGCTGGAATACCCAAGTATGGAGTTTTTTTTTCAACTAGTCATGATTGAAAACGAAGTTGTGATCCCACCATAGGCAGTAAGCGGCTCTTGTGGATCGGAGAGAGTTTTGCTATCTTAGGACTGGATGGTTAGCAGTTCGAAACCGTAAATGTGATTGTATTACGGGTGTGGGGTTGATATGCTGCGTATACACTTAGTACCAGTACATGAGACGGTGGAGTTATGTGAAACTGTTAGGAATCATTTGTTTTACCGAGATTTTTAGTCGAGTTTGATTTTTTCTTGTTCAGACGAACCATTGCTCGTCGGTCGAACGTGCAGTCAAAGCTGAAACTCGTCTGGACCACGCTGCTCATCGTGTCAACGTTTTCACTCAGTTGGGGTCTTTGCGTCCTTTACTTCGTGCTGGTTTGCGTTGACGGTTGTCCGTTTACGTATAATGTGAGTACAGTGGTGACCATAAGAGGCACAATGGTATTTAAAACCCTCGAGACAAATAGTGTTCCTCATTCAACGGTTTAGGCTCCCGCACTTGATAGCCTGGAGCTGTTAGTAGCTAAGAATTCGGTTCGACGATGCTTTTTGAAACATCTTTACTGACTTGGTTCCTTCTTTTAGGTATCACTCAACTTCTACCTCGGTTTATTCCTCAATTCTACAGTCAATTGCCTAGTGAGTTTTTTTTCAACTAGTCATGATTGAAAACGAAGTTGTGAAAAGAACGAAAATCAGAGAAACATGAGCAGCTCCCCTAGATAAGTTTTTCTTATCTGCTCTTCAAGATAACTAGAAAATGTTACACAACTAAAGATTTGTATATACTTGATACTTGAACGGCTCCTCCTCACTGGTTATGCGGGCCCCAGCATAACCTCCATTTTTTGGAGATTTTTTAGTTAAGCCATTGTGGTTCTCTGGAATCCCGAGGTCAGCACGACCAACACCTACCCCAGGTCTTCACCACAACAGGCAGTCGCAGCCCTTGTGGATCAGAGGGAGATTACAAAGACTTGGATATAGTTGTTTTTATAAAGGGTATTCCCCCTTTCCTTATCTGTGTGCTTATATTCAAAATAGGTATGGTTTAAATAGTGTTTTCTGGACATTACATTTCCACGTAGGTACTAGTATGACTGAGATAGCTCCTCGGGAATGTTTAGAGAAAGAACCACGTTTAAGGATGATACATAAAGCGGAAATAAAATCTATTTATGGTTCTTTATTTCCAACAAAATTAGCGCCGCTACGGGACGTTCCTTTAAAAAAGCCAGTTTAGAAAATTCGGAAGCAGCAATTGAAACACCACAGAGTACACTTTAAGACACCAGTCAGTTCGTAATAGCAGTATATAACCTTCAATACGCAGCGCAAAATTGCATAGTATGCTAACGGTAGAGACGGCAATTGTATGTGTTCGGGTACGGTGTATATAATCTCCTCGTAAAGTGTTTGGGGATGAACACATTGGAGAAACGGGTTGACCACTCTACGTCCGTTTAAAAAAACATTTAGTCGGTAAATTTAAAGTGAAATCAAGTATTCCACTAGGAGCGCATAAAACAGAAGGACATAACAGAGTAGATTTTGATGTAAAAGTCACTACGCTCGCGCAGGAATCCAAAACATCAGCGCTTAAAAGATTTGAAGCGTTTTGGTTAATTTGCAGAAATCCACAAATGAAACGTAAGGAAGAGTGTCTTTTGACCAGGCCTTACCTCACGCCATACCTCGGGCTGAATTTTAGACCTGAGCCAGGCACATTCCTCACCCCATGTATTACTCTGTGCGACCGCTTTCCACCAATTAATTTTAATACTTGCCAAGAATGAAACGGCTGTGAAGAAGGCGAAACCACCGAAACGTCGGCTACTGCTTGTTTGTATTCTACAATATCAAACTCGTGTTTGCTTATCAAAGAAAAACAGTAGACGAATTTTATTATCGATTTTTCAGTTCAAGGAAAGGAAAAAGGACACGGTAACAATTTGACCGCACTGCTGTACACATTGTAGCAATAGTAATTATATCTGTATAATAACCTAAGTTTTATTTGCTGCTACATATCCGCAATCGAGAGAGGGGGTAGGGGAGGAAGGAGTTGGGGGTGCTATTCGCAACCTCTCTGCTACAGGTTTGGTTCCAAGTAAACCTTGTGAATGTGAATGGAGAGGAGATCATTTTGAGAATTAACATATCAGATTGACATTAACCATATTAAGTTACATTCATCTGATTAATTGCAAAGAATTCTTTGCCTTTTCCTAGAAGATTAAAACTAAACTTGAATATTAATGTAGTCATTTATAACTTCAATGATGCTGAGAGATTTGCAAAACTCCGGACCGCAGGTGTCTGTGGTGGGAAACGAACGCGCTGTTACCCTTTCCGGGAACTAACACGTTCACCATCACACCATGCGGGTCCTTCGTTTCGCGTGTCTCTCAGCTACTCCCATCGATCAGTGCCATCAGCAATCACCCGTTACCGGGATTGATCTGGGGGGCCCAAATCGGCAGTAAACCCAGTTAACCTGAGTATAATCATTTATAATCAAATAATCATTTAATTACAAAGTAATCGTTTATGCTTAATTTAGGTGATGCTGAAATTGGCATCGAATCCATTCATCTACACACTTCGAATACGGGCAATCAAAGCTAGTGTGGTTTCGTTCTTGGCTACTATTTTTCATCGAAAGACGTATCCGACGAAGAATGCTAAGATGAGCGTGGCTTTGCTCAGCAACAGTTCGACAAATCGTCCTCTTTTGTGATGTGCTCCAATGGATTCTTTTCATTCGTGCAGTAACAGTCCGATGTTGTGCCTCATTCATTACTACCAACGAAAATGACATATTTTTAATGGCGTTGAAATGGAAACGGTGAGACAAAAGGGATCTGATCTGTACTGCTTTGGGACTGGTATGCATTATGTTCCTTGAAATCTGTGCAAAAATTACTGAGCTGAAAACGCCAAGCACGATCGGAAGCAAAGCGTTAGCCCCATCTCGCCGCTAGCCAGTTAATCGCACACATATCGATCCGCAATCAATTAAAATCACTTGGCCGATCGATATTTATTGAACGGCCTCGGTTAAGGCGCGGCAACAGACGAGCATAGATGCGAGCGTTCAAGTGTTTCTTATTCCAGCGAATTGATATTGAGACGTAACTCATACAGATTGACGACATCTTACCGGCAATCATGTGTTAACCGTTCAAAGAAAATCAATCGGTTCTAGTTAACCTTTAATCATTGCCTTATTCAGTAATGTGATATCCACTCGATCCACTATAAATTCGCAGACTTGTAAGAAGGTCAAGAATGTATGGGAGGAAGGGAAATTGGTAATGAACTCCTTCTGTTAAAGGGAGGTGAATGAAGAATTCATGTTGTACTTAGAAGCGTTCGTGCTTTCAGGTTGACTTAGCAATAAGCCATGCGCTATGAATACTTGGTGGGTTAGCTGACCCTTTATGTATCAGTATTTCTAGTGATGTATTCATTATATATCTTTATAATGTTGTTTTTTTTTTCATTAACGACTACGATTCATTGTACTTTGGCGATTCCAGAACTTGCCTTTCCTTCTAAATTCTCTTACGAGTATGTATATAACTTCAGACACACTTGCGTTGTGATCTCCAGAATAAATGAATTTCCATTTGTCCTTTCTTCGGTGAATCCATTCGTATAACAGCACATCTTTAAAACCCAAAAACATGCGAACATACAGCAATTGACGCCGTGAAATAAGATGTGGGAAGTATACATATTTTTACAAAAGGTGATTTATTGGTGGAATTTGACCGCTATCCATCAAAGGTTAAAAAAACGTTACTGACTAAGGTATAGAAGTGAGGCCTGAAGTGGTACGTGTAGCGCAGAGATTAAAGCCTCCCTGCAATACGCATAGGGTAGGTCCCGCGCCCACACTCACCAACCCTTTCATCTCTCTGGGATCGGCAAATTGATACCAGACTTGTTTTCGGAGGTAGCAGCATTGGCTCGAAACATTGGCGGGTCTTCGCGTACCGTTGTAAAGACCAGATATGCATTCAATCACCTTCAACGATGCTTAACGAAGCCGTATGCATCACGCATCCCTCAGGGACTGATCAATGGGGAGGGCTTCATCTTTTACCATTTATAGAAGTAAGGCCTAAAAATAAGCTTACCTCTTTGAAGAAAAACGCTGTTATATTTCTGCCTGTTGTTACAAAAAGAGTTTTCCTAGTGTTCTCGAATATTTGGATAGCGCATCTTCACGACCATTGCGCATATCAGCTACAAAATTCCCCCTTTATTTGTACTTTGTAACTTGGATAAGTTTTCATTGTAATGAAGTCTCGAGAAAATCGGTCCTAGACCATCACTACAATTCGCCACTGAGTAGTTCGTTTGGGGGCTTGGCATTTTATTGGAAGGGTTCTTCCACAAGGGTGGCGTTTCTTGTCAGATATTTATCCTTATGTGGGCCTCCAAATAATATCATTTAACTCGTTAGCCTCGATGACCAATTCTGGAATTAAATCGGGTTGCTCTTAGGCTGGGAACTCATTCTGAACAGTTATAGGCCTTCCCACATCACTGATCAATAACCAGAATTTAAGGGGAAAACTTGCGCGCTCAGTATGCTTTTTATCCCTTTGCAGTAATAAAAGTAATGTATTCAAATAGCATGGAGAAAGGATAATTTTAACGATGTTGACCAATCCGACGGGATGTTTTGCCACATTCATGCACTATTTTTGTGTTGGGGACGAGGAACTAAAGGTCAGTGTAGCTGTATGGATCTACTTAAAGGGAGTCAAAATCAGGGAGTAGAGGAACATTTTTGCCCCCAGTCAATATCAAAGACATTATACGATATTCTGTTCATGTCAATGACACACTTCAGTACTCGTTTCCATCGCTAGAATAATACCAAGCAGAGAACTACTCACAGTAACTAACGTCGTTTAAATCGCGCTTTCACCGATGAGGATCCTATTCGCCTTTGTGGCACGTCAGAACTACCTCAGAGGACTTCGTTCGCGATGTATAAGAAAGCTAGACCTCTCTGTGAAGAACTTTATACTCATCAGTCCACGACAACAATTTTAGAACAAGTTCAATATACATGTTTTTGCAACGGCGCACAGAATTTGCGCTCATCTACAGACGTCCGTTCGTCCTTGCTACCACGTGAGGTACGTTACAAGCTGTTTTTCTAAGTGTGTTGGTAACCTGCCCAAATAAACTTTGATCAGTACAATTTTAACTTATTATTTGCTGCCTACTCCTTTTAATGGCAGGCATGTTGCGAAATATAACTTCAATGGTGCTGAGATATTAGCAAAACTCCGGACTGTAGGTGGCTGCGATGGGGAATGAACGCGCTATTACACTTTCCGGGGGTTAACGCGTTCACCGCCACACAATGTAGCTCCTTCGTTTCGCCTTTCTCTCAGCTAGTTCCATCGATCAGTATTATTAGCAATGTCGGCGAGATTGATCTGGGCAGCCCAAATCGACAATGAACCCAGTTAAGCTGAGGTTTTTACAAATTTCTCAGCATCATTGAATTTTATCCGAGCGCTTCTTATTCATGATGTCATGATTTTTCAAATTTCGATCGTTTATTTATTTAGAGATCACAAAAGCGAGACGAATCAAATGCGAGATGTGCTGGGATCCAAATAGCAGATGTGAAAAAGAAT